CGAAGCTGCTAAAGATTTGGACTGCCCTGTCCCGCCCACCCTTAGACACAGCCATGGCCCTCCAAGCCACTCCTCTTTCCAGACCTTTGGCACAAGTCTACTTCCCTCCCAGAGCAGGCCTAGCCTGGCTACCACCACACATAGGTGGGACCACTGTGGGGGACAGGATGCTGGGCAGTACAGCCCTTGGCCTGACCCCAGAGTTGAAGAGCCTCACATTCTGGACTGCTTATCCACAGCGAATTTACACAGAGGAGAAGGTGAGTTACAGATGCCAGATCCCACAGAACCAGAGCCTGAAGGACATTTTCAAGGGTGCAAAGAGATTTCCACTCAGGCTCCCATTGCCTTGTGTCCTCAGGGCAGCTCTGAAAAATATGACAGGGATGACAAGGGCTGAAATTTGAGGCCTCACTTCACTATCTGTGTTGACCTGAGGGAAGTTCTGTCTTCTCTGCAGCCTCCGTTTCCCCACACAACAGAAAGCATGCAAGTGTTGAAGGGTTAAACGAGGATGTTTGTGAAGTACTTGGCACATGGCTTTATGAGAGGCCAGTGTTCATGTTAGCTCTTAGGATAGGCTCTGCCTGTCTCTCTTGAAGCTGGGTTGCTTGGCCTGAGAGACTTTCCTGGGATAGGATTAGGTCCCTCAGAGACAGGAGAATGGAGTGGTCAGAGAGCCCTGGGCTCTGGAATCAGACAGCCATGGTTCAAGCCTGGCTTCACCGATTTACTAATGGGGCAAGTTTAGACAAGTCCGTGTCTTTCTTCATTTACAAAGGTGTATGACATGGAAAGGGTTGCTGAAGGACACAATGAAATGATGCTTGTAAAGTTAGAAAAGTGTTTGACACACGCTATTGATAAATGGTAGTTTCTTTTGTAAGAATACGAATTCTTGTTATTTCTTTGACTCTCCAGAGGGAAGCATAGAGCCGGGTTCATTTTAAGCAAAGCCTCAGATCTGTGCCATCTCACAGTATCCTCAAGTCCTAGCAGCCCTGCTCTAGCAGGCCTGGTGTCCAACACGCCTTCACACCCACCGTCACCCTTGTGTTGTCCTAGTGATGCTCCATGGCTATGGCAGGTGAGTCCCTGCTCACAGGAGACATGCTAAAGCCCTGTGGGCACAGCTTTGGCCCAAGGGACCACGAGCCATCCCTCCTGCTCCCCTTCCTCTAACCAGCCATGCTGTGCGTGAGGCCACCAGAAGCCACAGGAAGGCACAGTGCCCTGGCACTGAGTAACCATGGCTTTGCACCCGCAAAGCCCAGAGCTGAACACACAGGCAAGGAAGAAGGCAGCCTGTGTGGAATGTGGTACAGAAGGCCACCCAGGCCACCGGTACCCCAGAGGGTCCCTCCCACAGGAAGTGTGCAGCTGCCCCCAACATCTAGGTCTGGGATTGTCATCACCAGGACAGAAAGGCAAAGGGAAGGAGACACTCCAGGGAGCCTGGCATGGTGCTGGAGTCCTGCACTGCCCACACTTTTGGGACTCTAATAAACCAACAACCACTCGAGTGGCCTCATGTTAGATGGATGTAGTTCAGCATGGGCCTGTTCAGATGGAAGCAAATCTTTCTTTTACTCAGTGGACTACTGAGGCCCAGGACTGAATTCAATTGATGTTATGATTAATTCACTGTAATAACTAGGTCTTGCTGATCACTTCAGACAGGCTAGCTCTGCGCTAATGGTTTTTAAATGCATTATCTCAGTCCATGCTTGTAATAAATCTGTGAGACATTATGTCACCTGAAAGACAATCTGTGAGGCTCAGAAAAGTTAGGGAACTTGTTCAAGGTCACATAACTTAACTAAAATTAGAGCTAGAAGAGAATTCAAACTCAGTCTTTCTAGCAACAAAACCCAAGAGTGTGCTTTGCCAGAGATAAAAACTGCCTTTAACTTACCCTCAGCTTCACCTCCCCCTCCCTTTGCGTGGCCACGGCATCTCCCTAGGTTCTGTTGCTTGTCATGTTTAACAAGCTTATGTACACAAATACACATATTCACACACATATACGTATACATGTACACATCCTCCTATGACTCAGCCATTTTAATTTTATATTTGCAACATAATCCTGGCCAGTAATTATTCATGCGTTAGCTGAATTAGCCTCCAAGTCAAAGCACATGTTTGTTCCTGCTGCAAGCATGAAGCTACACTGGGAGCTACCAGAGCCACAGGACAGTCCCCCAGCAGGACCAGTGTCCACGTGTCTTCTTCAATCAGCCACGTCAACCTCAAATTGGCCACAGATCTGGCTGCCATGAGACCTTTGTACTCCTCAAGCCAGAAAAGCAATTAGGTTTTTGGGATGACAGAGACCTGTAGAGTGTTGGCAGCCCTTAATCACAGCCAGTAGCAGGTGAATCCACAGCATTTGCCCCCAGGATGTTGCAACAGCTTCCCTGTGGGAATATGACTGGCATTGGTTTCAAAGGCCCGCTCACAAGTAGGAGAGAGACGATAATTCACATATGTGTGAGATGTGGCTGAATATACTACAGACAATAACTGGCTCCTTTACGTGTGAATCAGAATGTGAATCTGGCTAGGGGAATGTATTTGGTCCCCTTGGGATTACATCACAGGTAATTTCATTCCTTCATGATGCGTTCTGAGACACACAATTTCATGTTCCCGGGGTCAATATCCAAAGTATTCTTTCTGGAGTTTCAAGCCTTTCCATGACAATATTGGGAGGCCAACTCTGAAGGCATTATAAGTACAGCTTCTTGACTACAAGCAATTTGGAAATACACATTATACCGATCTTTATCATCCTTTCTTCCAAATCCAGGCAAGATGGTACGTACAGCAATAGACACTGACATAGATTGAAAGACAAGGTTGTCTTAAATAACCCATGGGGCCTTTATCAATCCTGTTCAGATAGACAAACTAAGAATAGGGCAAGCTTTGAATCGGAAAGGTCAGAGAGTCTTTTCTGTCCTCAGTGGACATGGGGGCTTCTACCAAATGCTCACATCCATTTCCAGTGTTGAAGATATTGAGTGACGCCCAATGCCACTAAAGATCATCCGTGGACCCCCCAAAGACCTACAGACACCAGCGATATTTGAGAAATCTCTCTTACTCATGTTAGATCAGAAGCTAAAAACTTTGTGGTAGAGTGAGGGTTGGAAGACTCAAGACCTGACTCAAGACCTGCCAAGATTCCAGTTCTCTCTTCCTTCACTTGGGCTCTGCCAGTGCTCCTTTGCTGAAGCTGGAAAGGCCCCACTGTCTCTTCCCAGTGGCAGCTGAAGCAGGAATTGTCCTACATCTTGCATGTGTCGTTCCCAAGGATTCACCATTTTCCCCACCAATTCTGAGCCTCAAAATCTCTCTCCCTGCTCTTCTTTTCAATTCTAAAATCCAACAAACAGCAGTAAGGTAGTTAGCAAGAAGTATAGCAAAAAATACCAATCTCACTTCTATTACAGCCATGGATTCCTGCTAAGGTACAAACATGAGGACAGGGACTTGGCTGAACAGGCTGGTAGTCATTTCTCAAGTTTTGATTGATAGATGGCTGCAACATCATCATCTAAGCCGAGGTAATCTCGAAGTTCTCTGGGGTCCCGTCTCAGACCTCTCAGTCATCGTCTATTTCTAACACCGTGGGAGGATTCTGGACCATTCTGACAGTTGAGAATTTCTACTCTACAGAATGAATTGCCTCCCCTCAATTTCCTACCACCAGATAACTAACTCCAAGAAATACCAGCCTTCAGAGAAATGTCTGTATACACAGGAAATCCTTGTGTAGTTAAACACAAATGGTTCAGTTGGAAAGATTCAAGCTCCAGACCATCCGAAGAGGACCTATTCCTGCATCAATTACCCATGTAAACGAAATAAAACAGTTCTTTTTGAGTATGGTGGAATGGACCTGTAATCTCAATTGCTTGGGAGGCTGAGGCAGGAAGATCATAAATTCCAGACCATCCTAGGTACCTTATAACACCCATTATCAAATTAAAAACTAAAAATAAAAAGAGCCCAGAATGTAATTCATATCCAAGGGCCTGAGTTCAATACCAGTTACCCAAAGCAAACACAACAAAGAGTATTTAATATTCAGTATCCCCAAATTGTGTAGATTGTTGAATCTAAGTTGTTAGATTCTTACAAGTACTTACAAGTACACACTCTGCAATCAGAATAAGCCACTGGGCCCCAGAGCAGGATGGCTATTCCTGACCCCATCCACCCTGCTGTAGTCCTTCACAAGTTTACTTAGCCACTTGTATGGTAAACCTCATACTGCCCACCCTCTGGCCAAAAACAATGAGAAAAAAAGCAACTGTTGTCTCAGTCTTCTGCAGTGACCAACTCTCCCCAAGAAATGTTTGTACATAATTACAAATACTTATTCACCCTTCTAATTAATATGGATATTTATCAAGTGGCAGCTAGATGCTCAGCATCGCAGTACTGGGGCCACAACAGTGAACAAAACATCAACGCCAGTGCCCTACCCTGCTGGACTAGTAGCAGGACACAGTTCCAAAACAATAGCAGCTCTTTCCGAAGTGCCTGATCTCACTCCCCACCTCCCCTCTGGAATGGAATGGAGCAAGAGCAGCGGGAGTCCCGCAGCCTCCCCTGGCATTTTGAATAACCAGCCTTGACAAGAATTTCAACGTGGTTTAAGAGTAAGAGGGATCCTCTTCTCTCCAACAACCCCCTGCCCTCACCTTCAGAGAAAACCCTTGCTAAAACACAGAGTTGGCAGACAGGATAAATACTTCTGAGTTTCACCAAGCAGCCTCTGCCAAAACTAATCTCCACGCGGAGTGGAATAAAGCCTTCGGTTGTCTGGATGGCTGAATGTCCCTTCCCGAGACAATGGATTGTTTATGTGGTAGAGGGTTAGGAGCAGGTTGTTAACATAAAACCCACCGTAAATAGGGCTGTTAATTCAGTTGCTGGCAGGGGCTTCTGTTATCTTCCGAATCCCTCCCAGAAGGGATAAGCCCTACCTTTTCATTTGAGTTGGCAGGAGAGTTATTTTTTTGCACCTGTTGCTCTGCTCCGATAACAACGCAGTTAAGCATTGATTTGTTGGAAAATAAACAGAAAAAAGCAAAGAAAGGCATCTGCCCAAACAGCCTTGGCTGGTTTGACAGAGTACTCATGCCAATTTGTTTTTCCTATAAAAACCAAAGAAAACCCTTGTGCTTTCAGTTTGGGTGCTGCCTTCTCACTCCACAGAACAAGAAGAGGCATCAAACAGGCCAGGGGGAGCTGGCAGGGCCAGGAAGCCCAGAAGGCCTTGTACTTTTCCATTGGCTGATTCCGCCAGGGCACTGAGGGGTGTCTGAGGGCTGCAGAGTGATATGGCCAGCGTCCAGCCAGCCCAGCTTCAGATCCGAAGTCAGATTAACGAGGGTGGAGACAGGGCTGCTGCAGGTCATGGAAACCCAAACCACATCGCTCTTCCAAATGGTTGACTTCGGGATGTCAGTATGCTTCAGAGAGTAGGCGTGGGCCGTGGGTGACCTCCTAAAGCAGAAGCCCAGCCACCTCTGGCCTCAATCTGGCCTCTCTCAGATGTCTGCCCTCCAACCGTTGGCCAAGAGAGTGACTGAAAATCTGGGTTATGGCTCTCCCCTTTCGGAGATAAGGCTACCTCAGAAGTGGGCTATGCAGATTCACTCCCATTCTGCCAAGGAATCTGAAGTCTGGGGAAGAAAGCCTGAGAGGGTCTGGGTGGCATTTCTGCCCTAATCCAAGCATCTTAGCATTCCTATTTGTCATTAGCCTGTCAATATCCCATGATGAACCAAAGCCAAAAAGGGCCACAAAGAGCTAAACAAATCACTCAAAGGGAGATCCTTAACAACACTAATTAAACAATAGCATCATTTCCTGGCCTTCCACATATGTAGTCAGCGGAAGCTTTTTAATATCTCTTTTGAAGCTGGAGAAAGAATAGTCAGAGGTGACATTTAATATTCCCCCTCAAAATCACTTCTGTCAGCCTTCCCTTGGCCACAGAGCTACCACTTCCCCCAGAGCACTGGTTCAGTGGGAAAGGTCACGGAAAAATGGCTTCCCCAGGACTGTGGAGAACAGGGTGCTCTGGCAGGGAGGGACAAGGCTGGCTGAGCACTCCCAGGCATTCTTGTCATGAGCAGGCCAGGGAGTGGAGTGCTTCAGACTAAATCAAGCAGCAGAAAAAGAAAAGATTTAACAACACCCTTCGTTGTCGACTGAAAAATAAATACAACCAACTGGGCAGGAATGTGGGAAGGGTGGAGGGAGTTAAGGGGTGGGGAGGAGAGCCAGGGAGTGGCTGAGATGGAGCAGGACAATGGATTTGACCATTTCAAGACTCAAATTTCTTCCCAGGAAAAGACAAAGAAGATCCAGCCAAGAAAGGTCAACAACCACCAGTGTGGACTCTCATGGATAGCATAATTACCAAACAACACAAAAGCTAAGATGGCAGGATAATTCACGTCCACTGAATGTTCATACTACACATTGAGTGAGGCTTTACGTGAATTATCTCATTCAATCCTGGTAAGAACCTCCAACAGCAGTACTTCATGTCCCATTTTACAGATGAGGAAGCACAAAGAAGTTGAGCAACTTATCCAAGACACGAATCTAGTAATTGGCCTAGATGCGCTATAAGAATCGCAGTAAGGAGGGCGTGGGAAAAGCAACATAATACTTCATAGCTTTGCAAACAGACTCCTTACATTTCTAAGGAAAAGGATGTGACATGGGACCTCATCATTTTAATTTGACAGTTGAGATGTTTTGAGGACGGCTTCAGTGACTTTTTCTTTAAATGTGAGTAGGCATCGTGCTGATCACACTTGTACACTAGTGAAAAGGTCTCCGTAATGTACACCAGTCCACATGCTGCAGAAAGACCAATTCACTGTTTCTCAAACTCACCCATGAACCACAGAGTTGGTGCAGGGGCTCAACAGCAAGCTCCTGCTTAGCATTCACAAGGGCCTAGGTTTCACCCCTAGTACCAAAAGCAAAACAAAACACCTTCATCCGGCGTCCCGCTGATGGCCCTACATTGACTCAGGGGTGAGGTGGCTGCCTAACAATAAAACAGCAGTTATAAAAATAAGGAAAATATGCTGCTGAAAAATTAAGAAGAAAACCTGGCTCCCTTGGTGGCTGAGTATCACATATGAGTCCCAAGGGCTGGGAACAACACACTGATGACAAGAAAAAGACTATGGTCATGTCACCTAGGAAGCCTGAAGTCTGTCACTAAAAGGAATCCAGTGAAATTCTCACCTCTTCCACTGACACTGTGTCCAAAATCCTGTTCCAGAGCTTGCAACCATTTATAAAAATGTGCCCCTCAAATGCAAACTGACCCTCACAGGCTTAAATCATCATCAGCTTAAATCACAGCTTAAGAACCAAACACTATAATATCTGGGTTTGCTCACAAAGTAGAGACCCTCCTTTTCTGAAAAAAAGTAAAGTTTACTCTTTGCTCAGATACTCATTAAAAGACATAGGCAACAAAGCCAACTCCTTTGCACGCCCTACAAGAGCCAAGGACTCTCAGCCCACTAAGTTTATTTTTACTTTTAATATTTTATTTATTTGGTACAGGGTCTCACTACACAGCTGGGATTCATAGTGATTTTCCTGTCTCAGCCTCCCCAGTGCTAGGATTACAGGCTTGGGCTACCATGCCCCAGTTCAGTGGCTGGCTCAGTGCCAGGGGACTTCGGCCAGCACAGCATGCAGTAAAGGGGATCAAACCCGGGTCCTTGTGCTTACCAGGCAGGTGCTTAGACCACTGAGCTACCTCCCCAGCCCACCAATGAGTTTCATTTTCCTTCCAGAACAAATCCAGATATTATAGTGTTTGGTTCTTAAGACTTGGTCCTGCTTTTCCTAACTCACTGGCCTATCCAGCAAGGTCCCTTGAAAAAGTAAAAAATGAAAAGCCATCAGGAAGGCAAGCAAAAAAAACCTACCAGAAGACTTGTCCGGGGAATCAAATCTCCCACATCATTTCACAGAAAACCTTCAAAACTCAAAATTAAACTATCAAATTCACCAGTGCAAAACCTATGCTTTTCCTCCCCAGCAGGCCTCAGCCACCCCAGTCCCACAGCCACCCTCCCATGGCTCAGTTTTCCAGACTCCCAGCATAAGGAACTGTCCTGCATCCAAACAACATCACCACCTCCAGAGGCAGTAAAGGCCACATAATCCATCACTTGGTACAGAAGGAAAATACAGAGTCCCTGGTTCAAATGTATTAGGCATTTCAAGACAGCCACAGTAACGCATTAGGGCAATGCAGAGTGTTTCTAATCTCGGACCAGGCGATGCTACACAAACTACACATGCACGATGCAGGTCTCCAGGAGGTTGGTCGCTATTTTTGCTTTAAATTACACCAAGGCTCTGTCACTGTTGGTGGGAGAGGTCTTTTCTACGTCTGACTAGCCCATGGCCTATCTTCTCAGGTAAGTGGGCAGATTCAACAAAATAGGACATTGAACAGACCTGGAACCAGCTGGCCTGTAACAAGCACTCAATCAATGTTAGCTCTTATTACGAAAGCCATTATTACAATTATTATCATCTTCATCATGCCCAGGTCCCTCCACAACTCCAAGGCTACTCATAGGCAGAAAGAATACCATCCTCAGTCTTGGCAGAGACTGCATATCAGCTGGTCCTGTTCAGGAGCCATTTCTTTTTGCCTTGTCAGAGAGAAGGCTATACATTTGAAGGTCTTAGACTTTCATTCATACTGTGAGCCCATTTTGCAATGTATTAAGGCATGTAGGTTCCTTTTCAATAATCTTGGTTACTGAAATACTTTTTAAAATAAATGTGTGATATCATGCTAATATGTGATCTTCTTTAATAACACATTAATAAAAATATCTCTATCAAGTCTAATAATCTCTGTGGTATAGGACAGTGATATTTTGAGATGTCTCCAACAAGCATAATGTGATACAATTTTATTTTTTCATTTTTTAAAAGAGAATAAAGCTTTTTTAAAAAAACATTAGACATGATACAGAATTTCACTGAACACAATAGTAGGAATTCAGCAATGGTTGTAATATGGCATAATGTTGTCTTCAAATTAGTTGTTTAGATTGCCAGATTTAAGCATGCAAAATTGGTAATAAAAGTTATTAAAAAGGAGAAGAAAAAATACAATTTTGTGATTGCTCTTGGTAGCAGTCACAGATGCAGTGATTATTATGTTTACATCAGAAGATGTGAAATTTAATGAGAAGTTATGGAAAATTGTGATATAATTTTTTAGCATCCAAGTTCATGGAGTTCCCAAATAGTCTCCATAAACACTTGGAAACCAAGCAATCCTTGGGAACCAAGCTGGGAACTTCGGCGGTTTAACTAATAGCAAGGATGACTCCTTCAAATTAACCTCTAGAAACCACTTTTGCATGGCCACAATGTTTGAACTATTTATCCCAGGGAGACCCCACAGTGTCTAGACAAATAAGTAATTAGGTTTTTGTTTTGTTCTTTCCCCCCAAAGCCTCTACACACTTGCCCCAGGTGAATGCCTTCCACAGTGGTGACCAATAGATGTCTGAAGGCACTTTCAGCAATTAGGGCTGGTATACAAAGCAGCAGTCCAAAGGGGGGACTGGACTGTCTTCTGCACGCGACTGTGTGCCAGGCATCAAGACAGGGGCAGTACATGCCGCATGCGCACTCCAGCCCTTCCCTGGGAGCTCGGTGCGTTGTGACACGCAGCCAGCTCAGATGGAGATTTAAACTGGAAGTCCTTCATTAACGTGAATCATCTCACTTCCCTGCAGCCCACCATGACCACCAAGCGCTTCTTTCTGTGCAGAACCAGAGTTAAGCATTAATGGAAAAAGTCTACTACCTTTTCATTCTGATCCAACAGAGGCTCACTGAATTCAGCTGGACTGGATATTTCTCCTTGATTTCCACTCTCTGGGATTTTCTTTTCTTCTCATTTTTTATGTATTCAGGACAGGGTCTACAGGGTCTCACTACATAGATCGGACTCGTATTGACCCTCCTGTTCTCAGCCTCTCCCATGGGCTGGGATTACAGGCACGTGCCACCACGCCTAGTCTCAATCACCATTTTAGCGCACTCTGGAGGCGGGGCCGGCAGGGAACACCAGGAATCAAACCCCAGCTGCTCTGCTCTGCCTAAGCAGACGCTTTAGTCTGCTGAGCTATCTGGCT